GAAGACCTGGAATTGGCAGGGGAGGGCCGCATGCCTGGGTACACCACCCTTCAACTGGGAATCTGGATAACCCGGAAGAAGGGTCGATATGAAGCTCTGTCAGGTTCTAATGCTGCAACAACTACTGGTATAACCTGTTCCACTAGTTGGGAACCCTGCAAAAGGGAATTTTGATATGTAGTTTCACTAATTAGAGTCTGTAACATCTAAGTAGGTTGATTTACACTTCTGTAGGATTCATAAACATCAGCTTGGTGCTTTTTTCCTTTCAAAAACATTTGTATTTCATGTGAATCATGCCACCTTTTTACTTAAATATATTGCTTAAATAGTTTGCTTAAATATATTGAAACTATTTTGTTACAGTGATACTAAGGAGAGAAGCTTTCATTTAAGTATTCATTTATCGGGCACTTACGTGTTAATCACTGTTCTGACTATTTGGGACTCTGAGATGAAAGCCATTCTCTTTGATCTCAATGCTCCTCTGGGCTGATGCTCTCCTTTAATGCGAGGACAGACCCAAGTCTATTTTAACTTTTCGAAGCACAGTTAAGACCAGGTGGTAACATCTAACCAGATTTTATTGAAGGCCTTGGGATAGTAAAATGGAATTACAAAACAATAAAGGAAAACTTTAAACTGGCTACTAAATGTGGCTTCTGAATGTCATGGACTATCCTTTCCTATCCACCCTTTTAGTCCCTGACTTCCTATGTTTTAAGAGTAGCCGACTCTCCTTGAGAGGAATGCCCATGACCATGAACATCATCCTCCAAAATCCAGGCTCCCCAGCTTCTTTCTAAGGCCTCTCTGTGAGAGGAGGAACCTGCTTTCCCAGGCTCCAGCCCAAGGCTAGCTTCCCAGGAAACATCATAGTCTACAAAGGTACAACTCCATCTAAAAAAATGACAACTTTTTTGGGGGTTGACAATTTTCAACATTGTTAAGCAGAGCTCTTTAGCTCTGTCTTGAACCTCTCTGATGCTGAATCGCATCTTGACCTTTTCTTTCCACAAGTTCACACTGCACTTTCATTTTGCTGCTTTTTAGTCAGATTTATTTAAGTTTACTATATATATAGTATAATTCATCCATTTTAGTATACAGTTCTACAAGTTTTGACAAAAACGCCATCATGTTACCACCATCACAATTGAGAGGTAGAGCAATTTCTTCACCCCAAAAATCCCTCGTGTCCTTTTGTAGTCAACCTCCTCACACTCTCAGCCCCAGGGAAATACTGACCTGTTTTCTGTGTCTATAGTTTTGCCTATTCCATATTGTCATATAAATTGAATTGTATAGCAGATAGTCCTTTATATCTTATTTCTTTCACTTAGCATAATGAAATTGAGAGTCATCATGTTGTTCATATATACTGCAGTTCATTTATCCGTTCACCAGTTGAAGAACGTTGAGTTTTTCGTTTTTGATGATTATGAATAAAGCCACTTTAACATTTGCATACAAGTCTTTGAATGAACATACGTTTTCATTTATCTTGCATCAGTATCATGGGATCACTGAGTTGTATGATAAGTGAATACTTAACCTTATACACAACGGTAAATTGTTTTCTAAAGTAGTTGTACCATTTTGCATTCCTAACGACAATGTATAAGAGTTCCAATAGATCTATGTCATCAGCAGCACTTGGTATTGCCAGTATTTATGGACTTTTAAAAAATCTTGTTCATGTTAATAGATGCGTGGAAGTACTCCAGTGTAGTTAAAATTTTCATTTTTCTAATGATGCTGAGCATCTTTTCATGTGCTTATCTGCCATCCACAGCTTTTTTAGTGAAATGTCTGTTCAATTCTTTTGCCCATTTACTTATTGGATTGTTCGTTTTACTATTGAGTTTAAGGATTCTTTACATATTCTAGACCCAAGTTAACAGAAATCTGCTTTGCAAATATTTTCTCCCAAGTCTACAGTTTATCTTTTCATTTTCTTACTTTCTGTTTTAGTCAGTTTGGGCTGCTATAACAAAATACCATAGACTGGGTGGCTTAAACAACAGACATTTATTTCTCAGTTTTGGAGGCTGCAAGCTCAACATCAGATGCCAGCAGTTCCTGATGAGAGCCCTCTTCCTGGCTCTCTATGTCCTCATGTGTTGGAAGACAGAGAAATCAAGCTCTCTGGTCTCTTCTTATAAAGGCGCTAATCCCATCTGAAGACCCCACCTTTGTGACCTCATCTAAATCTAATTACCTCCCAAAGGCCCCATCTTCAAATACCCTGGGGAGTAGGGCTTTAACTTGTAAATTTCGGAGGGGATACAATTCAGTCTATACCACTATCTCTCAAAGAGGGTCAGTTCTTAATTTTCATAAAGGCCAAATTATTGATTTTTCTTTTATGGATCATGCTTTTGGTGTTGTATCTAGGAAATCTATGCCTAATCCAAGATCACAAATATTTTCTCTTATTTACTTCAGAACAATTTGCAATTGTAGGTGTTTTTGTTCAGGTCTGCATTTCATTTTGAGTTGTTACATATGGTGCTGGGTATCTATCAAGGCTCTTTCAGTGGTGGTAGTAGTAGTAGTAGTAGTAGTAGTAGTAGTAGTAGTAGTAGTAGTATTTGTATGTCAAATTGTTCCAGCACCATTTGTTTTAAAAGACTATCTTTTTTCCATTGAATTGCCTTTGTAAATTTTCAAAAATCAATTAATCTTAAATATGCAGGTTTATTTCTAGCTTCTCTATTCCGTTCCATTGATCTATGTGTTTTTGCTTTTAACAATACCACACTCTTGATTACTGTGGCTTTAACCTGTCTTCAAATTAAATGGCATAAAGCCTCCATGTTTTCCTTTTTAATAATTATTTTTTCTAGTCCTATGCACTGCCATACAAATTTTAGAATCAGACTGTCAATTTCTACTGAAAAAAAGGCTTCTGGTATTTTGATTGGGATTTTATTTAATCTGTATAAATCAGTCTGAAGAGAATTGACATTTTAACAGTATAGTCTTCTGATTCATGATCACGGTATTTCTCTTCTTTTATTTAAATCTTTAGTAACAATAGTTTTTGGTGTACAGGTCTTGTACATCTTTTGCTTAATTTATCCCTAAGTATTTTATATTTTCTATTTAATTGTATTGTTTTTAAATCCTATTTCTGATTCTTCACTGCTAGTATAAAATTGATTTTGTAGATGGACCTTAAATCTTGTGAACTTGCTAAACTCACTTATTTGTTTTAATAGCTTTTTGTAGATCCCTTAGTATTGTCTATGAATAAAAAGTTACTTCTTTCCAATTTAACTATTTTTATCGGTTTTTCTGATTTTATTGGTTGCTGTAACCAGAACCTCCAGAAATGTGACTAAAAGTTCTAAGAGTGAATATCCTTGCTTCTCTCAAATCTTAGTCTTTCACCATTGCGTTAGTTTGCCAGTACAGCCATAATAAAGCACCACTAACTAGGTGGCTTAGACAATAGAAAATAATTTTCTCACAATATTGGAGTCTAAAAGTCTAAGATCAAGGTGTCGGTGGGGTTATTTTTCCTGAATCCTCTCTCCTTGGCTTGCAGATGGCTCTCATCTCCCTGTGACTTCATATGATCTTCCCTCTGCCTCTGTATCCTAATCTCCTCCTTAAGGACATCAGTCATATTGGATTAGGACTCACTCTAATGATCATTTTAGTTACCTCTTTATAGCCCCTATCTACAAAAAGTCACATTGAGATACTGGTGGTTAGAACCTCAACATATGAATTTGGGGCAGGGCTTGATTCAGCCCATAATTAAATATGATGTTAGCTATAGGTCTTTGTAGATGCTCTATATCCTTATTAAAATTCCTTTTTATTTCTAGTTTCCTTAATATTTTTTTGAATCATAGATGAGTACTGAATTTTGTCAAATTTTTTCCTGCATCTATCAAGATGATTTTGCTTCCTTTTTCCATCTGTTAATATGGTGATTTTTACAAATTTTAAGCCAACCTTGTATTCTGGGAATAACCCATTACGCTGATTGATTTTTCAAGATTTAAGCCAATCTTTTATATCTAAGAATAATCCATTCAGTCATGATATATTATTTTTATATGTTGCCATTTTTTTTTTTTTTTTGTGGTGACATTAGTTAACGAAATCCGGTTTCACCTGAATATATTGCCAATTTTTATTTGGGAAAATATGTAATACCTTTGTGGTGTGCAGTACACTGAAGATGTGTTTGTGAGGAGAGATAATGTAAAAAAGCCTACTCAATCTTCACTTACTATAAAATGCAGAATAAACATATTTCTTCGAAATACCTAGGCAAATATCAAAAATAATTCAAAGAATTGAAACTAGTTGAAAGCAGGACTGGAGGGAAAGGTTGTTTTTACTGCCATTTTTTGTGCCATTTCACCTTTTTAAATTATGTGCACATTACTTTGGTAGAAGTAAAGCAACTTGTTAATTTTTTTAAAAAGTAAAGCCTCTCCATCGAGGCTAGTCATTTTTAATTACAAATCTTTGATTCAACTGGGATTTTATGTTGGTGCATGGGGTGCAAACAACTGGAACACTGTCTCTTTTCTCCCGAATATATAAATCCCAGAATAATTTACTGTGTGGTCCTTATTTTTTCCCTATGATTTGTGAATACTGTTATTTATATTAGGCTATTTCTGCACTATCTGTCTTTGCCCTGGTACCAAACTCATTTGAGCTACAGTGAGAATGAACGTACGGTGGTGGAGAAAAAAAGAATAAGGCGCAGGTGTATGAAAGCAGGTAAATATGTGGATGGGTTGGAAGAATTTGAGAGTAATGTCGAAAGTGCAACAGTAAAGAGTATTAGTAAAAACGAAGGCCTTGACACGCTGTCGTTCGAGAGCAAACATAACGTTTCACAGGCAGAATACCCTTGATGAGACACAGACACCATGCACCAAGGCAAGACGAGCCAGGCACAGGGGCTCGCGCTTTGATTTCTGGAGCCTGCGCCAGTTAGACAGCGATTGGTGGTGGCCCTGGGGGTGGGGCGAACGTCCCTCGCTGCTGCCTCCAGCCCCCTCACCCGGCGCTATGACGGCCAGTGCGGAGCAGCGGGCGCGACGGCCCGGAGTCGGGGTAGGAGTAGTGGTAACTAGCAGTAGGCATCCTGGTTGTGTCCTCCTGGGGAAGAGGAAAGGGTCATTTGGAGCTGGCAGTTTCCAACTTCCTGGAGGTCATTTGGAATTCAGGTAAGCAGCTACCTGACCCACCCGGCGATGGCGGAACATGCACGGAAAGAAGACCTCGCGCCGTGCGTGCGTGCGTGCGTGAGAACGCTGACGTAGTGTCGTTCGCGTTTCTGTTCTTCCGTTCGGGCCGCTGCGCCCAGCAGTCGGCGGACGGCAGGGGGCGCTGACATGGGATAGCGAAGAGGATTGCCTCACCTGGTAGTGAGCTGCGCTTTGCTGCGGCTGCGAAGTTCGTTTGTGAGATGATTTTCTTAGTTCTTAGGCAGAGGAGACTGAAAGGGGGTGGGGGGGGGATGTTTATAAACCTCGAGCAACGCAGTGTTGTCAGTTAAGACATTGGCACGGTTTCCTGGTGATTTAAACGTACGCTGTTATATTTACTAGTTCCTGCCCACGAAGGTGTGGTTGCGTTCTAACCAAGCGAATGGGCTAGTAAAAGTCTGAACTGCAGTTTCTCCATCTTTAAAATGGCAGAAGAGGACGAAGTCTCTCTCTTTGGTGTTCTGTGATTTGATGATATATCAGACTGACGAGGAAAGTTGGAGTTAAGAGGCAGTTCTACACAGGGTGAGGAAAGCCTGGGTTTGTGCTAAAAGGTGGATTCCGAACTGAGAGTAAGGTTCAAGTCAACAGCAGATAAACAGCATCTAAAGCATTCAGACCCAGTGCTTGTTTTTCCTTTAATATAAAAAGTTTCAAACATAGTAAAAGTAGTCAAAAGAGTGAATCCTCGTGTACCCATCACTCAGCTTGCTCTTGCCTCATCTTTACCGTTCCCCCCTTCCCACCTCCCCAACAGACACAACCCTTGTTTTCTAGTCTATTTCGAAGGAAATCTCATTCTATTATACCACCCCTAAATAGTTAAGTACATATCTGTAATAGACTTTTTAAAACATAACCACAATATTGTTTTACCCCTAACAAAATAATTCTTTAATCATACCCGGTCTGTGTCATTTCTCCAAGTGCCTTGAAAATGTGTTTTTACTGTTTTGTACCAGTTGAGATCAAAGGAAGGGCACATATCGCTTGTGATTAATAATTTTTTAAACCTCTCAGTCTGACAGGAACCCTTCCCCTTATTTTTTCATGCTATGCTGAAGAATATGGGTCCACCTGTTGTTTATAAAGTGTTAAAAGTAGAGACTTGATCCTAGGGCCCTCTAATCAGACTTTGTTCTTTATAAACTGGAATTCTTATGATCTTTTAGCACATGGAATTTTTTTTAATGGTCTTAAGAACTTTAAAAAGCACCAGTAAGTTTATCATTTTCAGATAATTAAGAGAAGCCATCAGTTAATAATAAAATTTCTAAATTGAGAAACAAATGCCCAGACAGGAAGACCATATTATAGTTTTTCAGCTGTCTGTGGACATTTAGCTAAACTTAGATCACAAACTAAGCACTGGTTAGAATGAATAATTACTAGAGTAACTGCTACAGATAGCTATCCTAATAATGCAAGAAAGCATTGGAGTCTTTACTCAGATATCGATCTTGGCCAACATTGAGCTTTAATGAGTTTTTTACTAAGTGCTAGATATTACACTAAGTTCTTCACATGTATGCCTTTAATTACCTTTATATAACTGATATACTGAGTAAGCTAAATTTGATAGAAAAATGGGAAATGGCTTTATTTTCTCCTTTCGTTGTTTTGAAATATGATTTGTTTTTCCCTTTTCTGCTGCTCCATTTCCTGCAAATTCTATTGTTTTCCTGTCTCTTGATTGTAAAAATAAATCACACATTGGTCATTATGATCCACCTCCAAGCATTTATCTCTCCCCTGTGGTGGAGAAAGGCGGTGGGCCATTCTTCTGCTCTTTTTCTACCTCCTCTTCACTGCTTCTGGTTTCCTTCCTTCTCCATTGTGTTGTGGGAAGGGAGACGGCAACCTCTCACAAAACTGGTGGTGCTATGGTCCGTCCATTGGTGCCCTCTGGGTGCAGTATTCACATGTGTGCTCTCTTTCTCAGGATATGTTTGTTGGTCGTCTAGAAGCCCTTCAGGGATTTCAACACTGCACAGTTCCCTGACATAGGTGACTGACCAGCTCACCACCTACATTTTTTTTCTGCTGGGGTCTGTTGTAGCATCTGCTTGGCCCTAAGGAAATTCACAATGGGAATAATGCTTTCACTGCTGCCGTTTGTCCTTATTCAAGCATTGTGGGCTGCTCTAGCCAGTCTCATTCCTTCCAAATTCCCAGAGTGGGCATAAGCATCAGCCTCTGTGTTTGTATGCATCCCTACACACCAACGGACACGTTTCAGACTTACCAAAGAGTCCTTACCGTCCTACCCGCTCTACGCTGATGCGCTGGGCTAGGCCAGTGAGTTTCCACAAGTCACCAAGCTTGTCTTCAGTTGGGGAGGAACACGCTAGTATCTCCTTCTTGGGAGTCACCCCCAGTCTCTGGGAGGAATTCTCCTGGAGCACCCCTCGCTTGGCTTAGAGGCAGAGGTGGTCCCTAGTCGAGAAGAAGGAAAACATTCCTACCAGACTGAAAACACAACTTTCCTTCCTCCCAGAGATTTGTCTTTCTCTGTAGACTGGATAGGGCGAGGGTCAAAAGAAAAGTCTGGCCTTCCTTAGTAGACCTGAGAGTTCACATGGCGTGGGTTTGTTCTTTTGCTGTCCTCTTTGGAATTTAAAGGTGTGTATTGCCTATCGTTCTCAATTTTGAGGCTTAAACTGAAATCCTGAGATTACAGGAAAAGACACAGTTCACTTTTTGATATGTTACAACAACCCTATGAGACACTAACCTTGTTCTCTTTTTACCTATCCAGGGTAGATAGGGATGGACTTTGAACTCAAACCTAGATCTAGTTGACTCCAAAGCCAGTGCTCTTAACTAATGTACTAAACTGCTTCTTGGTTGCATTCTGCTTCCAGGCATGTGAACTAAATATTCTTTTGTTGATCTTGTTCATTGTGAAGTCCTTTTTGTCTTCAGATAACTAGATATAGCATATGCAGAATGTCAGAGGCAGAGTTTGATTGTTTTAAGGCATGACCCAATTACAGTTCTTTTTGCTTTACACTATAAATTTTTAGCCAAGAATTTCTAGCCAAAATAAAAAAATAAAAAAATTCTAGAATTATAAAATCAAATATAATAATGTGTTTCTGTTTTCCAGTGAAAGCTGGGAAGAATGTGCTCAAAGAGAAACCTGGGAAGAAGCAGCTCTTCACCTGAAAAATGTTCGTTTTGCCTCGGTTGTGAATTCCTTCGTTGAGAAAGAGAATTACCATTATGTCACTATATTAATGAAAGGAGAGGTGGACGTAACTCACGATTCAGAACCGAAGAATGTAGAGCCTGAAAAGAATGAAAGTAAGAATTATCTATAACAATGCATTTTTTTAGGAGAGCACATCACCTGAAGGAATATTACATTATGTTGCCATATGAGGAGAATTAGATTCTCTTTGTATAGAAACATAAATATACTTAAATCCTGGAGTTAAAAGGACATAGTGGGAAAGAGAACTGGCTTTGGAGCCAGACTACTTGGTCTGCATTCCAGTTCTTTCACTTAAGCTTTGCAACCTTGTGCAAGGTCTCATCGTCTCTAAACCTCTTGTCTCACCTGTGGTGACAGTGACTCCCTCAGTTGCATGTTGTAAGGGTAAAGTAAGGTAAGACCTATAAAGAGCCTACGGAACACAGTATTCAGTAATTATTAGTTTCATTATTTGTGTTTAATTTTGTTACATATTCTGATTTTAAGTAAAACATTTAATGTGCCTTCCTCAGTTTTCTCACCTATGCAGGAGGGTAATAACTTTTATAGAGAATGGTTAACCTGTCAAAACAGTCGAATTAAATGCTCTGAAAGCTTTAATGGCAATAACTGATTTTTTTTTACTGCATGTTAAGCATTGTTCTAAGGGTTTTGCATGTATCATCTCTCTTCAAGTTTCATAAAATTCCTTGAGAAAAGGAACTAAAGAGAAAAATAACAAACTTAGTGAATATATTATTTGCCATAGGAAACCTTATCCAAGTGCTCTCATGTACTGGACCTTCCCTCTAAACATTTAATTTCTTTTCTAATATGGAAGAATCTTTTAATTCAACAAATACCCATTGAGCACTGTGTGCCGGACACTGTTCTAGGCAGGCACTAAAGAAACAGTGCTATATAAAACAAAGTCCCTGCCCTCATGGACTTTACATGTTAGTGGGGGCAAAGGCAACAAATTAGCAGATATTTTATAATAGTGATGATAAAGAATAAGAAGAAAAGCTGTGTAAAGAGTGTGCTGTATGAGTGCTGTATCAGGGTGGTCAAGAAGGGCCTCTGAGGAAGGGCCATGTCTGCAGAGGCCTGGTGGAAGTGACGTTTGTAGAATGAATAAATCATGTCTAAAATATTTCGCAGATTGATTTGATTTAGTGAACAGAAGGGCATGTTCTATGCAGAGGCCTGTTGAGTCATACAAAATTTTTATAAAACACTTGGAATCACCTAAAATGAACTAGCAAAGTCTGAGCTATTTTTATTCACAACACCTCAGACAACAATGTGTGGATTTTTTCCTCATACCAATCCATTCTCCAACTCTCCAGACATCAATTGGCTGTTCTATAATTCAATTCTATTCTGACACTATCTGCCCAAAGTCAGTGTCAGTTCAAGAAGTTAGAAGAGCTCAGTCCCACAGACTGCCCCCACTTCAAACGCCATGTGGAAGGCCTGGCCCGTAATTTTGACCACATGGATTTAATTAGTTCCCACAACTTCCTCTCAGGTTCAATAATTTTCTAAAATGACTTACAGGAAAATACTTATATTACCAGTTTATTATAAAGGATATAACTCAGAAACAGCCAAACGGAAGAGATGCAGAGGGCAAAGAATGGGAAAGGGGTATGGAGCTTTCATGCCCTCTCTGCCGTGCGTGCCATCCTCCCAGCACATGGATGTGTTCACCAACTCGGAACCTCTCCAAACTGAGTTGTGTAGGATTTTTATGAAGGCTCCATCACTAAAGAACCTGTGGTTGATTAAATCACTGTCCGATGGTGATTAACTCAGCCTCAGTCTCCCCCTTCCTTCCCTAAGGTGAGGTCCAGAAATGGCCAAAAGTTCCGCACTTATAAGCATGCCTTTGTCTTTCTGGTGACCAGCCCCCATTCTGAAGATGGCCCCCAGCCACCAGTCATCTCATTAGCAAAAACTAAGGTATGGTTGAAAGGGGCATATTATGGATTACAAAAGATGTTTCATCTCTGTCACTCAAGAAATTATAAAGATTTTAGGGTCTCTGTGCCAGGAAAAAGGGATGAAGAACAAATATGTATGTATTATATCACAGTATCATACAAAGAAGCACCCCAAAAGTATCCAAAGGTCTTTGAATGGACTAGGGTACAATTAAAATTATTCATGACTAAGGAAATGGAAGGTAGGAGAGGCAGGTAGGAAATGTCCCAGTTCATTGGGGGTGTTCTCTACAAGTTCCCCCATCTCTCACACCCCTAAGTATCCTGGATAAAATGAACAGGAGAGGGGAAAGCCCAGGACAGTAATAGTGGAAACAAAAATCAGTAGTCGTGACATTCTGAAGCTCTGGGGAGAAAAGCAGTTTATTAATTGGCTTTTAAGTATTAAATTGAAATTTAAATATGCATATTTCCATTTTAGTATTTTTTGTAGGACTCAATTTATGTTTTTATGAAGCAAAATATATTACATATAACAGAATTTTTTAAAATTAGTTTTGAGGTATAATTTATTCAGGTAATAAGCACAATTTTTTATTATTTTAAGATAGAGCCCTTGACTTGAATAAACATTTCCTTATTTTTATCTTTTCTATGGGCATAATATCCTGAGACTAGAAGACACAGATGTGAGGGTGCTGTTACCCCAGGGTGTGAAAGAATTCACAAAGTTAGGAAGTAAAAGGTTTATTCACTTTCCAAGAGAGGAAGGGGGCCAGGCATTAAGAGTAACCCTGGCAAGGGGTTTGAGTTTTTATTGGGTTATAAAGGGCAAGGCAGCTGATGTTTGTAAACAGCTCTGCAGATTGGCAAGAAGCTTGAGTTTTCTTTGCTGTTATCTGAAGGGAGGTACCCAGGGTGTAGTTAATTAACTACAGGCTTGCTTGTCTTGGTATTTTTCCCAGCCCTGTGAACTTAAGTTTGAGGAAAATAGTTAGAGGGGCCTTGGGGTCTACTTGCATCTGTAGATTGTTTATTTTGGCTGATAGTCAGTGCTGACTCTGGCAGGAGCTCAAGGATCTACAGATTATATATTTCAGCTGATAGCGGAGCTGGTTCTGGCAAGGGTCCAAAGCTTGTTAGGAACTGAGCTGTTTGTCCTTTTAACAAATATGATGAAATAGTTGTTTTTCATGCTTAGTATCCTTCACAAGAAGCAGATATGGAGAGCATTCATTAATAGAGAAGGTGCTGAGGAGAAAGCGGACTATCTTAGCTTTCACCTAACAAGTCACGTTCACCCAGCCCGCCCCCTTTCTATAGCATCAGCCCTCTCCCTGCCCCGTCTGGCCTCTGGAGGGATTTGAGTTGGTGAACCCTGGTCAAACCATAACTTCCCATCGTGCTCTTTCGAGTTGCAGACCTGTATTTCCAGTCGCCTTCTAGGTATGTTCCCCTAATGCTCAGAAGTCATCTCAAATTCAGTTCAACGATTCAACTTAAATCATACTTTTTTGTCCATTAATGAACTTTGAATTCATAAAGAACAGATATTTTGACTCATTTACCTTTGACTCTTCTGGGCCTGGCACTGTGTCTGGCTCAGTGTTAGAATGTGCTGAAGAAAAGAACCAGGGGATGAATATACAAAGCACACCTCTTGCTGTGAGGTTCTCTAATATGGTATCTAGATTGGCCTCTCCCTCTCTTTCTCCCCACTCTCCCCTCTCCCCTCTCCCCTCTCCCCTGCGATATGATGACAATTGCCCCTCTCCCCTCTCCCCTCTCCCTCTCTCTCTCTGTTAGTGTGTGGTTATAGTTGCTGATCAACCCTTCCTGAACTTGTCCCAATTTCATGGATTCTCTGTCCCCTACCTTCCCAGAGTAAAACTACATAACCTTTGTATTTTATAGGAAGAGGAATAGTTAATGGAAGAAACAGTAATTACACATAGGTACATTCTTGTAGTTAAAAGAAACTTACTTCGAACATGGAGTGTACATCTTTATACACCTGTCATGAGCATCTGCTTTCATGTAATTTACATTTAAATTATCAAAGAAAATACTATTTCCTAGGATGTTTTTCTAGGATCTCATGTATTTTACAACTAATAGACACTGTTAAATCTTTCTTGTTTGAATAGGTTTTTTAAAAAATCAGCCCCTAGAATTTGTCTTTCTAGTTAAAATATACTGTGGCAGAGAATATTTTTTATTCTCTGCATAGCTTCCACTACTTTTTTAAGAGATGGAGGAGAGCTTAGAAATTTTGTTATCTACCTTATTTAAAAGTGAAGAAACTGGTTTATTTTAATATAGTGTAACCTGTAGTATATAAAGTTCTGTGGATTTTGTTCAGCCAAATATTTAAATGAAAATTGAATCATACTAAATCTGGGTTTTGCCACAATGTGGTCCTTGAAAACTTGGCTTCATGTACAAATAATGGTATGCCCTAAATGATCATTATATTCTTAAGATCTTCATTCTAAACACAACTTGTGCTTGTACAGCCAACTAATGCATAGCATCACTATTGTACTTCTTTTATTGGTAGCAAATTATTTTTAAATTGAATTAATGTTTTTTCTAAGTGTAGGTTAACTTGCCAAAATAAATAGCCTTTGCTTCCTTTCAAATAAATTCATTTGGTATCTTTCTTTTCTAGGTTGGGAGTGGGTTCCTTGGGAAGAGTTTCCTCCATCGGACCAGCTTTTCTGGGCACTACGTTGTTTAAAGGAGCAAGGCTATGATCCATTTAAAGAAGATTTGGATCATCTGGTAGGATACAAAGGAAATCATCTCTAGATGAACACGAAGATTTCCTGATTAAAAAAATAAAAGACAAAATAAGGTCTGCCTAGAGCATGAAAAATACATTTTATCGAAAAAGTTTCATATCATTGCCAGTTGATTTTCAGTGTCTTAATGTACCTACCACCCTTTCAGCCAGTACTTGTTGAAGGTTTTCTGGGGTTATGTCATGAATTGTATTCGAGACTCAGAATGGGTGATAAATGGCAGTGTTGTGTCTACTCTGCTTTCCCCACTTCCCTATGGTGTTTGCCGTGTAACTCGTCCTTCCCAGTTTTCATGGAGCGCCGTAGACTCTCCCTTCGTGTTTAGTTCAAATAGAGGTCCTAATCCAAATGCGAATACTATGTCCCTGTACCATGTTTATTGATTTTCCCCTTCTATCTGAAACAAAAGTTTTTTGAAACTAAAGTGAACAGGATAGGTTATTAGGGCATTTTCCTAGGTTTCTGATTGGTAACCTAAACCAAGAGAAGTGAGACAAACCTTGTAGGATCTGTATTCTGTCATTAAGATTAAGAGGCCTTCTAACTTTGGATTTCTTACTGAATCTCTGTGAGACCTAGCATGCTTATATGCAAAACAGGGAGATTAAACTAGGGCACTGGATCTCAAAGTGGTGTCTGGGGAAGTCCTTGAGACCTTTCAAGGATACTCAAGATCAAAGCTGTTTCTGTAATACTAAGACATGATTTGCCTTTTTCACTCTCATTCTTTCATGAGTATACAGAGGTTTCCTGATGCTGCATGATGGATGGTATTGAAACCACCTGAATACAAAAGCAAATGTGAGAATCCAGCTCTCTTCTATCAGACCAGACATTAAAGAAATTTGCAAAAATGTAAAACAGTGTCACTCTAATCACCGTTTTTAGAAACATGGTTATTTTTCATATGGATTTTTATGTTAACGTGATAGGTTTTTGTTATTTGTAAATTAATAAAAAAATTCTTAAAATTTCTGAGTTTTACTTCTTAATATGATAAATATCACTAGATAAAATGCTACAAAAAAACCAAAACTTTTTTGGGGTACTCAGTAGTTTTAAAGAATATAAAGGAGTTTAAACCAAAAAGCTTAAGAACTGCTGGATTAGACACATCCTTTTATGAGTCCACTTCCATAAAATCCCATGCTTCTCGGGCAGTGACATTTGAGTTTTGCCCTCTTAAAAGACTTAAGTACAGTTGTAATACATGCTGCAAAAGAATCTTTTTCCAATAACTGGATATCATTTATTAAGTTCTAATTGTTTGGTTTTTCAAAATTGTATTGTACATTTTATACTTTACCATTTGTAAATCTCATTTTCTATTTTAATTTTACATCTTTAATGTTAGAATGTTTGAGGAGCTCAACTATTATAAGTGTATATTCCTTGAACTTTAGATACACTGATGAAATTCACACAATTCTTTCTTCTCCTATTTGATTACTCCATATCCTTCTGTGCTTTGCTCATTATTTTTACTCCCATCCTCAGTTAACTTAATTCTGTCCATGGCTTCTTCCAACATGGTAGACATGTGAGGCTTGGTAAGAAACCAGACAAGTCTTATTAATGGAACTGTCCCATGAATTTATCTCAAATGTAGTTGATTGAGAATTCATCGAGATATCTCTTTATGCTAGTACTTATCCAAGCAGATATTTTATAGCTTCAAAAACTTATCACAATCCTATATAGTTTTACCATATCTTCTACTTTAAATTTATAATAAACAGACTAAGGAGCTTGTGAGATTTAATTCACCCAGCTAAACATGAAGGCTTATTTCAATGGAAAGATAAAAACTAACTATAGCTCTTATTTATAGTAAAAAGATAAGAGTTTCATATTAGAAGGGATTGTATTTACCTCAGCATCTAATATTCTTAGTTGACATCCAGTAACCACTCGGTAAATATTTCTCTAAATGAGTGAATGAATGGAACAGGATTTAGAATTCTTATGTAAACAGTTGATTCTTAGGCAATGCTTTCAGAATTGCCTTTAATAGAACTAATGTTGACTACTAGCAATGTTCTCATAAAATTAAATGTCAGCTGGAGTTCACGAAGTGTACCTCACTCTGCCAGGACGAGTCTGATGTCTCTTTATCACTTTGCTAAATCAAGCCCTGCAGTGTCCTTTATCCCAAGATGGGCAGGTGTTCCAGAACTCACTTGGGCAACATCCCAGCAAAAGTCATAACGGTGGAGCATGACATGAATTCAGCCTCCCCTGGATCCAATTGGAAGAGTCACTTTGTTATCTGTACTGCCAGCTTTCCAAATAAGACAAATACTTTCAGATGTAGTATGTGCTTTGAGGCAACAAGAATCATGTTATCCCAAGACTAGAGAAGGAAAGCTCAGGGAGTCATCCATATGGGAGAAAACTCACAGTTTTCTTCCAACATAAAGTGTTGATACTGTCTTCCTATTTTATTTTAAATAATTAGATTATTTGCACATAGAATTCGCTGCTGCACTTGAGTAGTGTTTATGAAAAATGCAAATTAAAGATAACACTACATATTGATTGAAAGGTGCATACCAAGTCTATTTTATGGATTTCAAGACACAGATGTTCATACTTAAGGTCCTCATAAACATTTAATTTTGTATCTACCGTGTGCCAAGTACTGTGATAGGTACTTAATGATATTTATATTAATAATATTAAATCTGTCACGCTACCTTAATCGCAAATTTCCATTCTAGGTTTCCCCTATTTTTATGTTTAAAATGTTTAAGTAGGGCTTTTTGCATAATATTGCATAATAGCTTTATATGCAGCAATGTATCACTCCTTATTTTTCAGAACAATTTATGGGCAAAGGAACAAAGTAGCAAGCAAGCCAAGCTTGTCGCCAGCTTCAGTTTCACCTGATACTGCTGTCCTCTATTTTCTTAGCAGATTCGCTTTCCGCCTATTCTTTGATGGCTCCCCAAACATTACCTAGAGCTCAGACCCTTTTCCTAAACTCCAGACCCAGTCACAAACCAGTCATCTCTACCTAAGATTCTCCATGTCCTTCTAACTTGGTGTGTTCCAAACTGAATCTCCTCTCAGAGAATGACTTTATCATCTGCTGAGTTTCTTAGGTTAGATTCCCTTTCCCCACATACGGCACTCACTCTGTCTTGTTTATTCTGTTTATTTCATGTCTCTTGAATCCATCCTCCATCATATTGTCCCAGGCTCCTCTCCCACCTTAACCCTCTGACTTATTTTTGATGTTACTCTGAGAGTGACTTTTCAAAAACATAAATTTGATCATGTCTCAAACTTCTTTTGAAGTTCTCCATCTGTAGGATAAAATCCTTAATCTGACATGCAGGGGCTTTTATAATTTCCCTAGACTAACTTTCCCATCAAACACCCATCACTTTCTCACACCCACACTCAGGCATATTTCCTTGTGCTCCCTCAGATGTACTATGCAGTTTTCTACCTCTTTGCCAGTGTCCCTGCAGCTTCTTCTGAACTGAATGCCACTCACACCCTCAATCTGCCTTAACATAGCCTTACCAGTTTTTAATACCTCAATTCAAGAGTTCCTCTGTGATCCCTTCAGGACTCAACCTAGCAGACTGTCATACTACGCCTTACACAATTTCTACTGTATCCTAACTTCATAGGTGGCTTTTGAATTAGTCTCTGGGCTTAAGTGATATGTGACATGTTATGTTCTTCTAAAGTCACCCTCTTTTATCTTGAATAACTTGATTTAAATTTCTATTGGGTCAAATTCCCTTCCAATGCATTTATGAAGCAATAGATTCTGCAGATAAAATTCTCCCAAATGCGCCTTGTCCTTAAAAATGGCTGAAAATAGACTCTCACCTATATTGCATAGTTTACGTAAACGCTATTTGTATGCATGCAGAAAAAGCATTTTGACATTTTAGGGATCAAGTGGGACTCTCAGAGGATATTCACTGTGGCTGAGCACAGCCTTTGATTACTTGAGGTCTTGGGCTTGGTTCATCGATGGTAAGTACTTGGATATTGTAGCACACATGATGTTATATTCTGTTGATTGCTTATCTCCCCGGTAGAAAGTAAGCTCTTTTAGGCTAGAGACTTTTAGTCTGTTATCTACCTAGCAGCCAAAGTAGTGTCGGGTAATACTAAATGCCCAATGTATACTGGTTAAATGAAGAAAATGACTTAGTATTTCTTGACCAGTCCTTTTCCTGGGCCAGAATGAAACAAGTAGCACTGAGGATACTCACAGCAGGACATGCAAATACTGCATTCCAGCTATTTGCAGAGACATAAAGGAGAGCTATAGGGAGAAAGGAGTTGGAATCTGAAATAGGAGCAGAGGAGATGCCCTGCTAAAGATGTGCACAAAGTCCAAAACTAAGTGGAGACACTAAAACCCAGATGTCACTTTACTAACGATGAGGAATAATGAGGACAAGTTACTGTATTGTCGACAAAACTGCTAAATAACTTGTATAGGAACTGTACAATGGGTTCTATATTTTAAAAGATATAATTATGCGATTGTACGTATTTGAGAATACTTTTAAGTTGTGTTTTGTTAGTGGGAATAAAGTGTATTGAATCAGTGGAATTAGATAAACCTGTAAGATGTTTCAATCAACAAGATATTGGGATGTAGAGAAAGAGACTGTTTAGATAAGATACTCTTGCAACACCAAGAGAGGTAAGCCAGCAGCACAGTTGGAAGTCCAGCCAGTAGGAGCCATGGTCTGGCTTGGCCTACCCAGGGGAGCAGTTGGGTGGCCTTTGGGAGGAACTTGTACAGAGGAAAATGATGAAGATTATGAGGAAGGGCTTGAATTGTCCACAAAAGATATACATTAAGGGTATACGTTGAGAACTGCTGGATACACACCTTTTTTTCGCCCTCTGCCTGGTTGCCACCAGTGAAAAGGGCTCTCAACCTCCCATTGCCTCACGTTGCTTCATGCGTCTGTCTAATTGGCATTGCTACGTGAAAGGACTCCTGGGCTGGCAGAATTTTCATTTTCTTAACAGCTTTGAACAGGCTGAGCTTACAAATATAGTAGCCCACTGCCTTAATCACGCTGCCCGTCCATGTCACCATCAAAGGGTAGAATTCAAATGGCAAAGGGCTCTTAACCTCCCATTGCCTCACGTTGCTTCATGCGTCTGTCTAATTGGCATTGCTATGTGAAAGGACTCCTGGGCTGGCAGAATTTTCATTTTCTTAACAGCTTTGAACAGGCTGGGCTTACAAATATAGTAGCCCACTGCCTTAATCACGCTGCCCGTCCATGTCACCATCAAAGGGTAGAATTCAAATGGAAAAGAAAAAATAGGTGGCCAACAAGACTCAGTAACAAAAGATGCCACAGTGGGCAAGGGTCAAAATGAGGGAGTAAAGGGTAAAGGGATGAAGAGTTTGGAACCAGGGAAACAGGACTGGGTCGGTACAACAGGGGGGTGTTGTAAAGCTCTGAGTGGTCACCTCACACCCCAGCTATTACTGTGCATGGACTTCTCTCACAGGCCACCCCAGATGAAGTGTTGGGGAGCCTGGCTGACTGACGGGAAAGACTAGAAGTGTGGCAGCCAGGAGCCATAGTGTGTAACCTGTGGTTAGAACCATGGTAGAAAGATCACTAGCTCAGCAGCTAATTTTACTCCCTAAGAGCTTGTTTTATGTGGCATCTATCAAAATGGGCAAGCAGTGTAACCAATAGTATTTATTAAGCAATGTGCTGTGCTAAATAAAAAAGGCTTTTGGGGTATCCTTAATGCCTAGCATAGTACCTGGCATATTAATAAGGCTTCATTAATATCTGAATCTATTTGAAAGATAAAATTATGGAAACAAGATGATAGCAAATTAAAGTGACATGTTTTTAAAAAATATTTGATGTATAGTATGCATACAGTATCTCAATAAATTATTATAAAATTAACACAATTATGTACTACCTAAATCAAGAAATAAAACATTTCACCAGCACCCCAAAAGTTCCTTCTCCTGAAGGTAACCACTGTGACCACCATCTCATCATAGATTAGTTTGTTTTTAATTTGCTCAAAGTAGAATCATACTGTGAATGAAAAAGGGGCTATGCAATAAACCTGACAAACTCAGAGGGGCCATATGGCAGGCCTGATAAGCTCAGTGATGAAAAGTAACCACACAGGACAGTCTGACCACAAATTCCTAACTGGATAGTTCATAGCAGGTAGTCACATCCCAGGCCTGTAGCTTCCTTAGCAAAGGTCCATCTTCACTGTGAGCCCTGTCCGTTGTTCTTGAACATCTATAATATACCTTTGAAATGTCAGAGTAATTTTCTTTTCTAGACCCCTTGAAGGCACAACTACAGGAACCAGAACATAAGACCACCAGAGCATGAGACTAGAGAACCCCTCATTGTCATCTTCACCCCTACCCTGCACACCATCTCTACAGGATGTGAATGTTACTATCCTGTACCCACCAATGTAAAAAAAGTATGTAGTTCTCCATTTTGCCTTTATTCAGTCCTAGAGATGGCCCCACCCACAGCTATGCTTTCTCCTGCCCCCTTAATCTACCACCCTCCTTAGGTCTTATCCTTTGATTCTAATGTATAAAGAAGCTGTAAAGCTGCCATTCTCTGGTGCATTTGAGATCTTACTCCCCAGCATATGTCATCAGTTTAGCTCAAAAAAATGCATAAAAATTCTCTATAGGTTTGGACATTTCTTATGTTGACAATATGCATTTTTGTAACCAGCATCTTTGAGTCAACATTGTTCTTGAGATATTTACCTATGTTGTGTAGCTATGGTTTATTAATTTTGTATGTAGTATTTCATCATTTACATATACCAAAGTTTAATCTAATCTAATATTGATAGTCATTTGTGTTTCTTCCAGCTCGGGGTATTACAAATAAAGTCACCATAAGTATGTGTATATGCTTTTTTTGGTATGTACTTCTTTCTGTTGAATTTTTCAACATTGTGGTTTATGCCAGTATAAGAATTGTCCAAACCCATACGTATGAGTGAAATGCTCAGCCTGATTCCATCTTGTTCGAGCCTGCTTTGCTCCCATCGCCTTTATGTTAATAGCTTCTGATTATTCTTACATGTAGCATTAGAATAATTCTGCTTGCAGCTTGAGTTTTACAAAAACAGCCCCTTCCCAGAAACTGCCTCTCAACAAGAAAAGGGAAGTATGGATTGTTTACAATCTTCCTCAGACCTCTGCTGACACTCACATCATACTGTCAATCAAACTCAAACCCCTCCTGTTTCCCTTTTCCATTGATCTAAAAGCAGCCTGAATTCTATACTTTCTTAAAGTGATTCTTTGGGACGCTAGTCCGCCATCTTCTCAGCTTGCTGGCTTTCCAAATAAAGTCGCTTTCCTCGCCCCAGCACCTGGTCACTCCACTCACTGGCTGTTGTGCTGCGAGCGTTATGAAATTGGACTCGGGTTACATGTAGAGAATTTTTATGAGTTTATTCGAGCCAAACTGACAATTGCTGGGAAGTAAAATCTCAATGAATTGAAAAACTGCTCTGAAGAATGGCAGTTTTGCAGCTTATTTTATACATTAGAATGAGAGGAGAAATGAGGGGGGTTACATGAAATCCACTGGTGGTAGATTAATGGGGTGGGATATAGCAAAGTGGGGAAATCTCTGAGGATAAAAAGCAAAATGGAGAGACAATTTTTTTTACATTGGTGGGTGCAGGATAGTTAATAATTAACAGCACATAGAGATGGTGTGTGGGGAACAAGATGACAATGAGGGGTTCTACGGTCTCATGCTCTGGTGTGGTGGCTGAAAAATTTCAAACATACCAGAAGCAGAAAACAGTACAATCAACTTCCATATACCCTACACCCAGATTCAACAAGCACCAAGATTTTGCTGAATTTGCTTGAGCTCTATTTGCCCCACTGTTTTCCTTGATTGTATATTTTTATAATTAGCCAGCAAACATTTTATATTGATTATGTAATGGACACTATGGAATGACTGTAATTTATATATACTGGCATGTCGTTAAAGCTAATTAATATTAATACAAAGGTAAAAAAATTGAGCCGAGATAAAATGTTACAATTCCGAATTAGGATACTCATTTCATACCTAATATATTATTCAAAATGCCAATTTAAAAGCATAATTATGTTCCTGGGAAATTGTAGGTTGGAAGACAAATATTTTTCTACAAGGATCATGTTTCATTTAAATAACCAAAGGGAAAAAAGTTGAAAAAAACTGAAAAAAGTTGAAAAAACTCAGTTCATTGGAAGGACATCAGTGAGATTACTAACAAAAAAATACAGCGGCATCTCAGGAAATACACATTTTATTCTCATTTTTTAAAAAGATAAATATGTTAATTTTCATAAAAAATAAAAATCTACATAAAAATGTTGATATATCTGGGTTAAATACTATTTTATCTTCTCCTTTGTGCTTTACTATATTTGCTAAATGTTCCACAAAGGATGTTGTGTTACTATTGCAGTCAGAAAAAAGTGACAATTGTCTAAATTTATCAATTGTCTAAAATTGGTAAGTCAAGATAAAATTGTATAACCATATATTTAAATATGGAGGTTAACCACTAGAGGTTAAAAGTAGATAAAAATGATTCTTTCTGGGAACTGCAATAAGAGGGAAGGTTAAGACAGACAATGTTTTATATTCTATAACCTTTGTTATAACATTCTAAGATCAGACATTATTACGCTAAGTTTTAAAAAATTATTTTAAAAAACCCCACTTCATTCCATATCTTCTAAGAAGATATGGCACTATGAGCCTTTGCGAAACCTACTAGTTGTGATTACTAGTTCAATTGTATTTATCACATCATGTTCATTCACACTCCAAAATTCTACTTAATGTATAAAATGCAACTGGATTTACAGAAATAATTTCTTACCTACACTGAAGGTATATTTTTTAAAAAAGCATACAAAGTACAAACAAAAGTTAGTTTATTTACAAAAATTACAAATAGTACAAATGAGACAATTTCTCCTGTGCCTGTGACAGAAGTTAACAACCTTCACTTTCAATGATGGTTTTTGTTATTTTGGTATGATGTACATTCAGTGATCTACTGCTTTGTTGTTGTTGCTGCTGCTTCTCTAAATAATTCTAGGAGGCCTATTAGTGATATGTACATGAGTCATTTCCCTCAAATCTTATTTCCAGAACTACTATGTATAAGTCCAACACAACTGGAACAAACCTGGTAAGATAGCACTGAACTGAATAATCTTTTTTATAACAGTAAATTTTGATTATTCTCTATATATTCACCAAGTAGTTGATAATTGAAATCATGATTTTTGGCTTTAAAAACAAAGTCCACTGTGATTTTTTAATGGGCTACACAATTCCACTATAGCCAATATTACCTGGCTATTTTTACAGGCTTGCAATTGTTTAAGAAACAAAATTCCATGGTATTCAATTCTGTATGCTTTTTGTCTCCTATATCATTTTAATCAGAGTCACTACTACTGCTCGAGGAGTCTGTGGACATAACTTCTACGTCATCTTCATTTTCTTTATTGTGCCCAGGAGGTTCCAACAAAAAGTCATTACTGTGATTTGGTGGTAACATATTCATTGCCATGTCATTTGACTGCCAGGGATACTGTGGAGCAAGGACATCTGGAAGGAAAAAAGAAGCACATATGAGAACATTTCTACTAGTAATTAATTTTCTTCCAAATGACTCTTCTCTTCATGCAAATAATTTAAAATAAATATTTTTTAAAGCTAGAAATCAAAATACACATTTGCCCAAATTAATGAAGATCAAATTTATCAAGAAAAAGAGTGATGTTTTAGTAACTAGAACCTGTGTTTTATCTTTAAAAAATTCATACTTTATACCACAGTAACTAGTCAGTTGACATAATTTTTCCTTTGTAAGACAGTCACAATTACAAATATTTCTTCTATCTATATATTCCATACACACATATTAGATCATATGTTACTTTCTACATATTCTTTATAGTGTACTATAAGCAGCTAATGTATATTATACTATATATTACAGTTTAAACTGCTTTTTAAGCCTCAAACCCACTCTTCTCTCTGGACCCAGAACACATGTCCTTTGCCAGCAGCCACAATGTTAACACTTCATCAGTAGAGGGCACTGGGGACTCTACTGAGGAACAGGCTTCCTTCCTGGACCCAGTGTCACTCTTACTCTTGGTGCCTGGTTGGCCGCAGGACATCAAGTGGTGCTCGCCCCCAGCCAGTTTCAGTGGCACCCCAGAGGACAGTTTCCCAGTACGGGTGCACCCCAGAGGACGGTTTCCCAGTAAGTGTCACCATTTCCCCAAAGGGTGGCTTTCTAGCAAATCTCCCTGGAACCCAGAGGGTAATTTTCTATATGCCAGCTCTGGCCTGTGACACCTCATCTAACTTCTCTGCCATCCAGCAGGCCACAGCTATACCCACCTCTACCAAAGGTGCCATGATATGAACACGGGCCTTGGAATGGGGGTGGGGAGAAGCCTCTTCTCTGCTGGTTCCTTCCCTTGGGTACTCTGCCTTGGTCCCAGATGTAGTAGCTCCCCATATCTCTTATTCCTCTATTTTTAAAAAACAGTTCTCTTTACCCTATAATAATTAGTATCTTGTTACTATATTAGGTAATAATTCTTTAAATTTTCATTGTTCATATTGCTGATGTGGTTTCTGCCTCCTTACTAGACCCTGACTGGCACATGATAAGAATACAACCACAGTGAGAAAAATGAGGAGCTATCCAAGGAAACTAATGCACAGTGCAGTCCCAGTTTGTACTTATATAAATTAACAAAAATGCTTACAAAACATTTTTAGTAACACAGGGACATCCTTACAAAGAGATGTTAAGCAAAAACAGCATTATTCAGAACATGTTTCTAACAATGTAAATATTACAAGGGAAAAATGAAATAGGTAAAATACTAAAAGTGACTACTTAAAAGGGTAACTTTTTAACTTTGTAAATGCTCTACCAAATCAAAACAAGTCGCCTACAAAAGATAAAATATGGGAATGTAAAATAAATATAAGAATAGCACAAACCTATATGTGAAACTTGAGGAAAGTTGAAGCTCACAATGAACCAAGTCTTACAGGTTATTTTATAAAGTTATTAAAAGCCTATAAAAAGCTTTGTTATTCATTTTGTTAACTTGGGGGTTTTTCAAGAGTATGTTCACTTTATAATTATTAAACTGAACATGTTATTTCTTACTGCTTATACAGTATGTTTCACAATTTTAAAAAAGCTGTGTTCCGAGCAATAAGAGGCACGATGCCTGAGGAAAATGGCGTATTAACAAGTGAGGAAAAAGTCAGTTTATTCTAATTTCAAAACCTCCATCTAGAACAGTCTTTAAACCAGAGCAAGTAGAGAGCAGGATAAATTAGCAGAAAACCTAGCTATTAAAATGAGTTGGGCCTTGTATTTCGAATTTGTTCAGTGGCCAAACCTTGGCCTGTTTGAAAGCATTCTTCTAATTAACATTACCTGGCAATCTGCCTGCGGCAAGCGCATCCCCAGGTAAATGACCATTCACACCATTAGTGGAAGGATTGTTCATCTGACCCAATAATCCACTTCTCATCTCTAAATCAGTTGGGTATGGTCTCCGTGGGTCCCCTAAAATAACAAAAGACAAACAAAAACATACAAAAACCCAGACTTCTTTTAAGTCAACCACATACAAAATAAGCATTAATGCCTTCTCTGAAGTATTGATTTTCCTTGGTTCACTTTAAAAAACTCAAGTTACATATTCAGTTTTGGAATATGAAGGCCATCAATTGTTAAATATACTATTCTCTATATGAAAAAAAAAGAGAAAAGTCTGCCATTTTATTAGCAAACATTCCAAAGGACAAATTAAGGAAATTAAAATGATCTTGACTCTTTTAACTTACCTGAATTTTTTAGTATGAAAATGATGATTCATAGGAACAAAAAGATCTGAGGGAGAATAGATCATGACACACTTTTATGATAGAAGACATTGAATGCTTACTGGAAGGATTGTCTAAATTAAAATCTTTTTCTAACTAACCTCTTCCATCTTGTCACTTAAAGACTAATTCCTTAACTTAGTGGAATATCAGGAGCCAGTAATCTTTATTTCCAACCACGTAATTATACTAAGTGGCAGTTTTGGGTTGCTAAAAACTTGGCCAGATTTAGGCCAACTTTTTGGTAATATTTCTCACAAACTCCAAGATTACTCATCTCAACACTGTAGTTACCCTTAGTGATTTTAGTATGGCAAAACACCACCATAGGGAATTACTGAGGATGCAATAACCATCTTCCACTCCTCCCCAAAAGACTGCCGCTCTACCTTAGTGTCTCCATCTCATAAATGTTCTATCCACTGTCAATACAGTTGCAGCCTGTTACTCCCTTTGCTGTTTCTCATACTCCGGCTCTTTCTAGTCCTGTGTGTCTGCTGTTGGGTGCTCAGGGCTTCACCTTTATCACCGAAGAGTTTGGTTTGCCTGTTTCCCAGGCTGCAATCTTTGTGGAAATCCTAATGGCCCTAAAGTTGGCTTCTGGCTAGCTTGGGTTTTACAGGCATATAAATCTATAGCTTCAGAATCACACATATTATCTTGTACTCTTAAAAATTATTAATTATCATTTTTAAAAAAGGAAACACAGTCCCTAGTGGCAATGGCTTTGTAGAAAACCAAACTGATAAAACCTGTGACCTTTCTTTTAAAACCTTAAAGATGTGAAAACATGAGGCAGATGTTTCTAAGGATAAATACATTGTATATTTAAGACTTTTTTTCCTATTTTTGTATATAGTCACTCAATAATTTTCAAAACCACATATATCTAGTAAAAATAAAATTATTTTACCTGGAACCCAGGTCAGTGGGGCACACACAGCATTACTTGCACTAATCCGATGTGCGTACTTAATTATTTCTTCAGAGGAGATAGCACCTAGAGTCAAGAGGAGAGTGTAACATTTTAGCCTAGTAAACGCAGAAGTTTATAAATGCATACACCATAGTTACATATAATACTTAAATTTTAAGTTATCTGAAAATAGAATAATCTGAGTTACCTACCTCCTCCAATAATACCTGGATGTATATTGTAAACTTAAAAAAATATTTCCAAACTAAAGAACAAAACATTCAGAAAAATCAGCTAACATAAGTAAAGTATCAAATCTGGGAGATGAGCATGATAATGCTCAATAACCTCAATTATTAATTTCCATTAAATACTATCACTATTCTGAAAGTAACAGTGAACACAAACAGAAAACACAGTGTTTCACCTTCCAGTGACGTCCAAACTATTAAATCAGAGAAGCAGTTTACACTATGACACTCAACTGTCAGCAAAACATGACCCTAAGGTTATAAGTAGACCAAAGTAGAAAGATATCTGCAATATATTCATTAGGTAAAAAAAAGTAAGTTGTTAAATATTATGTATAGCATGACCTGATTCGTGTTTTAGACTACATGTACACATATGTATTTGTATTGTTCTTGTATTTACAGATCTACAAAAAAAAAAAAATCTAGAAATAAAAAGATTCCAAAAGATCCAAAATGGAAGCCTTTTTGAAGAGAAGCGGGGAGGGGATGGGGATAGGAAGGCGTGCTGGGCTTCTGTGCCACTAAATGTGTATACATCCCAAAGCCATAACTAGTTTTGACTTCATGATGTTCTTAATCCCACTATAATTAACCAATAAATATTTTCTTTCATTCTGTCTTATAAGACCTAATTCAAATCCCACTTGCTTCTAACCCATAGTTCTGTCCCCTTCTCCCAAGTTTTATAAACGCATTGTCATTATTGGATATTCAGTTCTACAGCCATTTATTATTGCTTCTTATAACTGAAAACAGGGCGTGACACCTCCCCAACACTACCCAGCACAGGGCCAGAACATAGTAGACACTTCACAATGAAAATGGAGTTGAACCTTTCAAAAGCAGAAAATGATTAATAATGCTCTCATCAGACTGTTGGAATCAAAACTTGGATTTTTCAGAAAGTCATTCAGTGTTCCCACAGTACCAACCTTTTCTTGCTTTTTCAATTGATTTCAGTTTTTCTTTTGCTTGGTAAACAGCTGTTGCCTAAAGAACATTAAAAAGAGAAATATGGTTTATTCTCAACTTTATCAATCGTGGTTTTTGGCTTAATTCACAATATCATTTATCCTATAGGAACAATATGCAATTTGGGAATCCCCACAATTTATTTGTAACATTCTGAAACAGCACTAGATATCATTTATAACATCACAGTTATATTTAATGAAAAGAATAAATATTATATTCACGAATCACTCTTCATTCACAAATCAGTCATTAGAAACAATGTATAAATTGGATTGTTTACTAACATTTGTCTTCTATCATAAACATCTAGAAGAGATCCAGATCACCAACCACCCCAAAAGCATTCAATTCTTGCATCAAGTTCAAGAATAAAATAAGATCCTTGTGTTCACTGTCTGTAACTCAATAATTATAGTTTTGGAAACCTAACCTAAAGAATAAAATCTGAAATGCAGAAGGAAAAAAACTTTTCTGAAAGGTTATTCGTTGAAACATTATTTTTAACAGAAAGCTAGGAAATTAAACGAGGGCATAATTATATGGAAAATGCTTAAGTTTTAATAAGTAGTAATAGAAAACCACTTAGCACCCTGCTTATTAAAATAAGGTAAAAAACGAATACGACTAAGACAAACTGTGAACAGTGACAATCTGAGCAATGGCAATAAAGGCAATCTTCTCTTCTACTTTTCTGTATTTTCTGAATATCTTCTGGTAATCAAGTATTACTTTCTGGCAAATAGGTTTTATTATATATTTTTTAAAAAGTATTACTTGGGGTTGTTTCTTTAGTAGGAATGGTTCATTTACGCTAAACTACTCAGGCTTCTTTATACTGAAGCCCATTCTGACACATTTTTGAAGAGATTTATCAGGGATAAGGATGCCAGCTATGTCTGGTACATAAGAGAATCAAACTCAGCTGTTTCTGTAATTACACTATGTAACAATTACATTAATTACTATTTAGTAAAATAAGTGGGCAAATAATAGCAAATAAATTGCTTCTTTGAAAGATTAGACATGAATAAGAAACGACTAGAGTCCTTGCCATTTATCCTAATCCTGCCTAGTTTAGGATGAAAAACTAAATAATGCAATTTTTAATTAATTTATAAAATTGGAACATATTTTTACTGATTTTGAAATATTTTTAAAACTGAAGTAAAGATTTAGATTATTAACAGCTAAAACTTGTATCAGGACATAATAAAAGCTTCCCACTTCTATAATTCAATCCTATGAAATCATTCCATAATAAAAGTGAGGTTCAACAGTAATACAAACTATCTGAAAATAATAAGTAAAAAAGAAAATGTCATTTAACAAAACTGACAAGTTATCACTTTCAGACTTGGAAAATCAAATTTTCTGCCACTTCAAAATAGTGATAACAGACTTATTTTTCAGAAATACATTAAATAAACAATATCTTTTTTAAAGAACCAGCTTATAACTTACCAATATTTGTTCTGCTTCTTTTAGCTGTTTTTGTAGTTGCTGAATATCACTGTCTCTCTTCTCCACTTCTTTTTCTAAAACTTGCATTTCATGATGGATTTTTCCCTGATTAAGTGCCAATTTCATTAGTTCTTGAAATTCCCCATCTCTGTGAATTAACAACTCCAGGACCTGTCAGTAAGTTGATTAAAGCAGACAAAAGAATATTAAAAAGCTACATTCCAATGAAACAAAGCATGTGAACTGGCTGAGCTATAAAATTTTAACACCTCAAAATATTTTATATCCTTATTAAAAATAAAAACGGCCTCTCTATGATTAGAAAACAAATTAATATCAAGATATCCTTCTTTTTGTAATTATATACTATTCGTTCATACAAAACAAAAACTAGTCTTTCAGAACTAGCAATGTGCCAAAAGGAACAAGTTTATCCATTTCCCAGGGAAGAAAAATTTTGTTTATCCTTAAAAATATAATGCTGCCCCCTCCTCGAGAAATAATAAAAGCACAATAAAGCCTAAGGAGGAAATCCTATATATATATGAGATGTTCTCCCAAATTTTGTTATTTGAGATGATTTTAGTTGGCATCAAGAATTTAAAAAAAAACTTTTACAGTTACACATTTGTGCTAGTATTAGAAAAATAGAACGTTCACATTAAACCTGGGATATCATGCACAGAACTGCTTAGGATCAAGACGGTTTAAAATAGAGTGATTTCAAAAAATAGTAAATAGGTGCCATGCAGATATGGCAAAAACTATGAAGGTTAAAAAGCAGAAAACGGAAAGTCTGGGTTCAAATCCAGTCTTTCATTTATTAGTAGTGTGACAAGGAAGTTACCTGACCTATCAAAGCCTGTTTTCTCATTAGGAAAAGGGATATAATAACAATACCTTAACACATAAGGTTGTTTTGAGGATTTATAAAATAGTGTATGTTAAGTACACAAAGAAGACCTCAATAAAGGCTAGTTATTATCATCAGCCCCTCGCTACAAAATTAAGATACAATCTGATCTAAATACCCTTACTTTTCTGTGCTACTAGGGAATGTATCAAAAGGAAAAGGCTATCAAAATTCAGAATCAATTTAAAAATTTTAAAAATTTGTTAAAGATTAAAAAATACAGACATGCCTCAAGTTATTTTTGATATGAAGTTCCTCTCATTTTTATAGGGCTTCTAATACAACAGACAAAAGTCTGAAGTGCATCCTGTTGGGCATTTACTTTAAATAAAAAGTGTTTTTAGTTAAAAAAAAAAAAAGAAGAAAGTATATTCTTTTCAATAGGCCTATAATTTCCCTTCTTCTCATGTCAAAGGAGGAGAAAGCTAAGTTTCCATTTCTATAAAAGCTATATTTTAAAAATTATTAACCAAAATGAGTACATATTAGTTCCATGACAACTTTCCAGAACTTTACAGTTTGACCTATTTTGTATACTACCAGAGAACAGTAAGAGTCTCTTTAGATTTTACTGTTGAGTAGAGAAAAAAATTATTCAAAGACCCAGGTTCTAGTTTCACTCATCCATTCACCTTCGGCTGATTCATCCTCAATCTCACAGGAGGTTATACTGAAGACCATCGGCTCAATCACAGGAGGTTATACTGAAGACCATTAAGGTCTCTTCTAACTCTAAAATTCTAGATGTATAAAAATATGAATATCCAATAAAATGTTGGCTAAAAGCTTTCAAATGGGCATATCCCTCTAATATTTAACAGTTTTAATAAAGTCAAAACTCAAATTTCACTTTTTGCTCACTTTGTATAAATTCTTAATTAATCCCATAAGTTATCAATTAAAGCGTTTGAGAGTGGGATTCTTTTATTAACACGTTCATCTCTAGGCCTTTTCTTCTTCTGACAACCAACCAACCAAACAAAAAAGTAACCCCAATATCCCTATAGTTTGTAGCTTTTTACAACTTATAGACTTATCTGGTTTCCCCCTCTCCTCTTGAGGGAATTAATCCTTGAAGAAAACAAGTTCTCTATTTAGAGCACATCAGATTTTTCTGGCCTCAAAATATATCTTAAGATGAAATTAAGATAATGATGGGGTAGAGGGTGGGTGGAAGTGGTCTATCAGAAACTATTTCCTCTTCTGTCTTACATCTTTAAAAAAATTAATCCTTTCTATTTTCTCTTTAATTTTTTTTGTTGTGGCCAAAAAAAGCCCACATAATATAAAATTTACCCTCTTTAAAAAGTTTTGAATCAGAAAAAAGAAAATATGTCACTGCAGAAAATCAGGAAGCACAAGTATAAAGAAAATAAAATTACCTATAAATTCAACATCCACAAAATAACCAACCTTTATTAATAGTTATATGCTCTTTTATTTCCATTCATTTTTAAGTCGCATTAGAGGAACCAGTATTTAGACAACTAATTTCTTCTTAAGCACACTGTTGTTTTATGTAAATGATACAAAGTAAATATCAATCTAAAAGTGTCAATAAGTAACTTAAAAGGATCCGATCTTTCTGTTCTTACACAAGGTAAATATAAACAGGAAACTTGCAGAAATTATCGTTTGGTTTGGAATTTTAAAAAAAGCCACTTACCTGGTTTTCCTCTCCAGCCTGTAACAACTTTTGGCTTCTTGAAATTGCCAGCATTTCTATAAGTTCCCTAAAAAGAGAGAAAAAAAAAGAAAAAGAAAAAGAAACTTTCACAAAGTAAATACACTAGGAACCTTCTTAACTGATCTCCACCTGACTTGCTGGATTCATGGTACCAACAGGACTAAGTACTCATGCCACTGCTCTACTACAATTCACATGCTGTGGGCTTCAGCTCTCACCAGCTGTACTCTCACCAAGACTCAGTTGCATGTGTTACCAAATCTATTTATGCAAGTTTACTTATTACTATAATTATATAAATTGATATCCATTACATAAACACCAATGAAATACAATCATGAACATAAAGAGTTGTTTCTGTAAAAACCAAAGCTAAATGCTTGGAAAGACTCAACAGAGGTTTGCATAGGACAACTGTGAAGAACCAGGGGAAAGTCAAAAACCCAGCAAGAGTCTGCCCTAAGACTACCTGATGAGAGAGTCTAGGTTCTCAGTTCACTTTAAAGAAACCAAACAAGAAAATGCAGCCAATGCACTATGGGTGGTTTGCACAAGAAAAACTACATCAGAGGTCTGTCTGTAGGCCAAATCCAGCACATCTGCAGTTTTTGTAAATAATGCTTTCATGGAAGAGAACCAAGCTGCTTCATTTACATATTGTCTATGGCTACTTTCACACTACAAGGCAGAGTTGAATAGTTGCAGCGGAGAACTGGCTGCCAAGCTACTTTTACCTTCGTAATTCCACCTTCCTTCCTGCTAGCCTCATACTATTGTTCTGGATGGTGCCAAATGGACCCAACCTTCCCCACTATTTCCTCACAGCATTGTGTATGAATTAATTAGCTAATTAACGAAAAAAAAAGTGAATATGAAAATGGGAAGTCTTCACTCATTCATCAAATATTTATTGAGTGCCTATTATGTGCCAGGCACTTTCTACATGTGTGAGTTATAAAAGTAAACAATGGAAAACAGTATGAAGGGTCTTCAAAAAAAAAATTAAAAAATTAAGAATAGAATTACCATGTGACCCAGCAATCCCTCTTTTGGGTATCTACCCCAAAATTTGAAAACATTTATCTGTAAAGATATATGCACCCTGATATTCATTGCAGCATTAGTCACAGCGACCAAGACATGGAAACAACCAAAGTATCCTTCAATAGATGACTGGATAAAAGTGTGGTACATAAATACAACAGAATATTACTCAGCCATAAGAAAAGATGAAATACTGTCATTTGTGACAACATGGATGGATGCTAAGCGAAATAAGTCGGACAGAAAAAGTTGAGAACCATATGATTTCACTCATATGTGGGATATAAAACTGAAAGCGACAAAAAAAAACATGACAAAAAGAGACTCATGAACATGGACAACAGTTTGGTCATCACCAGAGGGAAGCAGGGAGGAGGGAAACTAGATAAGGGTAAACGTGGTCAAATATATGGTGACAGAAGATTTGACTTTGGCTGGTGAACACACAATATACAGAAGACATATCCTTGAACTATACACATGAAACTGACATAATTTTATTAACCAACATCACTCCAATAAATTTAATTTAAAAAAATGAACAATGGCACTTAAATTCTAATACAGGTGACAAGAATAAACAAGAAAATAAAAAATAAAACCAGAGTTAACGATTAGGAAGATGTATTTCTCTTCTTTATAATGTTTTTAATAACATTTGCTTTTGTCTAACTTACTTCATGGTAAGAATACAGTATATAATATAAATAACATACAATATATGTGTTAATTGATTGCTTATGTTATTGGTAAGGCTTCCAGTCAACAGTAGGCTACTAGTAGTTAAGTTTGGGAGGTGTCAAAGCTTTAAGTGGGTTTTTGACTACGTGGGGAATCGCTACCCCTAACCCTTGAGTTGAACAAGAATCAACTGTACTACTCTTAAAATAAATTAGAGGTAATGGAATAGACTGGTGTGGAAATTTCAACATACTCTATCAACATGGTTTCTGTGGGACAATGAGTTCTGATTTACAAACAGGCTAAGAAAAACTTTTAAACTATACTCTACATGTTTCTTTTTTTAAAATTCTTCCAAAGATGAAGATTACCTCATTCTATCATTTTACAAAGTAACAAATATACTGAAAAGCTATATAATCAGGTAACAGTAAAAAAATATATCCTGAATTTCAAACCCACTACTTTGAAGTCAAAAGTTAGTTTTTCTTTTCATTGTTCATAAAAAATAAAAATGAGAAAAATTTCATACAGAGGATAATGACAAATTTCACAGACCACAGAATCAGTATGTACGCTATATCTGGGCACACAACGGGACTTTTTCAAGTCAATTATACTGGAACAACCTCATTCTGTGGAGAAGTTTCAATAAGTCTTAGGAGGCAAATCTCAAACTGGCATCTCTTCCACTACCACCACCAACCACCTCTGGGATTGTAAAAGAGGTAAATTTTCACTTACCTACTGTCATCCAGTCTTTCTTTAGAGATGAACAAATAAAATAGCATGGAAGATAAGTCATGAGAAAATGAGAGAAAAAGAAAAATGAACTAAGACAAAGGTTATTACCACAGGCTGCAGAAAGAAAAGAAGCCTATCACCAATTTTTCAATAGCTCTAGTGAGGAGGACTACAAATTAATGAGAAATCAAAGTCTTCTTGGAATTCCTGGAAAAGAGCAACAGAGGAACTACAGCTTCTTTTAGAGGAAGTAGAGAGGACTCAGCACCTCAAGTGTTCATATATAACTGGAAAGATGAAGAAGAAAGTTTCAGAAACACTGAGGTTCTTGAGGAAAATTTAAAATGATTCACTACTTCAGTGAGTAGATACATTTCATCACACAGAAAAATGCAATATATTGGGTAATCAAGGAAAGAATAAAATACAAATAAATTGGTCAAATCCAGATATTCAGTCTCAATTTAGTCTCAAATTCGAGGTAATTCAAGATATTCAGGAACCCAGTGATTCTAAAAGCACTGGTTAGGCTGAATGCACTGTTTTTCAAATGGCAGTTGGTCCTATTTATAAGAGCAATAGGTTAGCCAGTCAGCATTTATAGGATGTGAGGTTGGTGTTTAATAAAAAGAATAAGCCCTCAATATGAACTAAATGAAGCTTTAATTAGCTATACCAAAGACAGTCATGTCACACAAAGACATAAATAATTTAACTAAAAACTTATCATAAAAACTGTTTTGTTAGGGTCTTTTTACTAAGTAATCATGCTGGTATTCATTGACGGGATTATCTAAAGAAGAAAGTGACAAGGGCTCCTCCGGGAACTACAAAGCCAACAAAAACAGCAGGAAACAGCATTTGTATTAATCTGTGTAAACATTTATACACAGGTAACACATCAAGACAGCTGCCTTGTGCCTGAGCTTCTTGTTCACTGTACTGACTACTGGTTGCCTGAAGACTCCATATGCCTTATTTGTAGTCAGGCAGCATCTCAGTCTGATACAGTCTAAACAGTGGATGAAACACATAAACTATTTAACTTCTGGTATCTGTGTGTTTTTATTATCTCATTTAATATCGTGCTAGATCTAGTAATCTGGTAAGTGATGCTTGCTATGGCAAGGACTAAATTCACAGCAGATAAAATGATGATTATTAGTAGGTCAGGTAATACAATATTTAAGATTTATTCTAAAGCTGTCAAAGAATGCTGGCTACAGAAAAAGTGACATTTGAGCTGAATTCTGAAGGATGAATGAATGAGTCATCAAATTGAGAGGTAGAAGGGGAATGGTTCTAAAGACGAGGAAGTATGAGATTAGCTTTAGAAGGGGGAGCATTTCTGAGGCTGTAGTGAAGGATATGGAAGGGTGGAGGGGTGTGGCAGTAAATGAGGATAAGAGGATGGAGTAAGAGATGATGGAGAATAGCTTTATTGCACACTAAGTTAAAGAGTTTGAACTTTATCTCATTGGGCAATGAGAACCTAACACATATTTTAAATCAGAAATGTGATTCGCAATGCTTTTTAAAAAAGCTCCTGGGAAAAATAGAATGATAAAGTGGAGTCCCATGTAGGCATCTAAACTGTTGGGAGGCTGCATTAAGAAAGTTATTATGGGATGTAAAACAGTAGAGATGGGAACAAGAGGTCAAATCTGAGCAACATTTTAGAAGTAAGAACCAAAATAATTTTAACATCCAAGTGAATGTGAGAGAATTAAGGAAAGCACCAATTTGAGCGAATATCATGAAATATAACAGAATAAGGAAAATGACATCCAATTTCCTCTATACCTTTGCCACACACGTTGCACTTAAGCCCTCCCAAATTTACAATTCCAACAAATCGTGTGTGCTCTGGTTTCCAGGCCTTTGCACATGCTGTTCCAGCTACCTGCCGCCTAGTGAATCTGGTGAACTCATTCTTCTTATGCAGTCTTTGCTCCAGGAAGCCTACCCTGATTACAACCAGGACAGGCGCCTCGTCATGATGCTCCAGTAGCCCGCAGCGCAAGTCTCTGATAAAAACCGGTTCCATGCCAGTCACTATTTACACGTCCGTCTCTCCCCCTTTACAGCGAGTGGCTCCTCTTCGTCGACATCCAGTCTCCCCCTCAGTATCGTCTCCCTGCGTCTGGCACCCGGTGGTGGTTTTGTTAAACGTGTGTATAATGTCCGTGGTCGAAGGGACTCACACCCGGAGATATCTAAGGACCGCTAAAGTTCTGACAGTCATGAGGATCGAGTCAATATCATTACTTAAACGTTCTCTAAGGTGGGGAAATGCCAGCTCGGAGTCCTGGAGGGCTGCAGACGCCAGGTCCAGGACAATCATGCACTGTCCTCGGGAGTGCGCGGCGGGGTCTCCCTTCCCGCGGAGCCTGAGAAACCGGAGCCGACCGAGAGCCGGCTAGTCCGGACGGGGTCAGTCCTCCCCACCCAGCCCCAGCTAGGCCCTCAGGCCCACGGCATTACCTCGACAAGACCTCCAGATCTTCCAGCGCAGACAGCAGCCGCTCTCGCGTGCTGTTACCGCCCGCCGCGCCCGAGCCGCCTCCGGGCCGCTCCTTCTCTTTCTCGCCGACCGAAGACGCCGCCATGCTGCTCACACCCGCAGCCGGCGTCTGCGCAGCTGTGCGCGGGCGTGCAGAGGCGGGCTGGGGGCGGAAGGAAGGGGCGCCGAGGAAGGGAAGAGAGACTCGGTTAGAGCGCCGCCTGTGGCCTGGAGGGTGGCTGCGGGCGCCGGCGCCATGCGCTAGGTCAAAGAGGGCTGCTCCTCCGACCCTGGGAATGAGAGCCTGGGAACAGGCAAGCGCGACACCTTCAGGTTCTACTGTGCCTACTGTTCTGCAAGCTGGAATGGAAAGCTTCTTCTCAATGGATTTTAAGCTTTTGGAGGAATTACGCAATAGCCTGCCTATTGTGTCAGCTTCTCCGTGAAATGGGCGGGTTCTCCTCAGCATTAACCTCTCTTTAGCTTCATCTACTTAACATGGTTCCCATCCTACTGTTTGGCCTCTCAGGGGGCTGTAAGCACCACAGGACCGGAGCCATAATTCATCTCTATCTCTTCAGTTTTTCTTTATTGTGGTAAAGTACACATAAAACTTACCATCTTAACTATTTTAAGTGTATAGTTCATTGGTGTTAAACATATTCATATTGTTGTGCTACCATCACCAGAACTCTCCAGAACTCCTATCATTTTGCAAAACTGAAACTCTGTACCCATTTAATTGAAGAGGAATTTTTCACTCAAAAGGCTAATAATCAGCTCTTTGTTCTGCTTCTATAGATATGCTTGCCGCATTGGCTATAGGGTAGTGTGACCTTGAAATTAACTGAAGACTCATCCTCCCTTTTGCTTGTTCTGTCTAGATAACAGATGTATTGCCTGAGTTCCTGTCTGACAATCTCCTGCTCTATGACTGCCTGTAACCCACAGCAACGCCAGGGGTCTGTAACTGCCTGAAGACAAATCAACCAATCAGCCCATGCCAACTGTTACAGCTGGCTAAGCCCTATAAAAGCAAGATTGCCTCTGAGCTCCAGTCCCAGATCTACAGAGCACTATCTCTTCTGGGACCGCTGGCATAATAAACCTGAGTTCTCCAACTCTCCAAGTGGTGCTTGGTTTCTCACTGGTTTGATTTTTCTGCAACAAAATAACTCCCCTTTCCACCCTACCCCCAGTACCTGGCAACCACCATTCGACTTTTGGTCTCTGTGATTTTGACTGCTCTTAGTATCTCATATAAATGGAATCATTCAGTATTTGTCTTTCTGTGACTGGCTTATTTCACTTAGCATCATGTCTTCAAGTTTCATCCAAATTGTAGTATATGTCAGAATTTCATTTCTTTTAAAGGCTGAATAATATTTCGTTGTATATGTAGACCACATTTTACTTACCCATCCATCTATTGATGGACACCTGAGTTGCTTCAACATTTTCATAATCCATCTTTATAATCATATATCTCCCAACAGTATGTTGCTCGTTGCTCAAGATGACTGTTGAATTGAATGAATCAATATAGTATGTAAGTGGTAGTTAATGAAAATAGTTTAAATAATTGGTGTGGCACAAATTCCAAATCAGAACTGGATGTCAAAACCAAAAATGTGCCTTAGCCCACTTTCCTGAGGGAGAACAATGTAGTAGGGAATTTTCCCTACCAGGAAAACCAAAACTGTAACAGTATTGGGAGTGGGAGTTCTGTACCGGGTCATATTGCAATTAACAAAAAATGAGATGGGGAGATGTCAGCTATAAGACAACAGCTGGGAAAGAGGCGGGAGTGCCTACAGTGCCCTTGTTCCAGCATCCTGTCCTCTGGTCTGTCCTTCTGCTGAGTACCCAGAGCTGAGGATTACCTTGGGGACTCAGCTAAATAAATTCATTCATAGCAACTGCTGTGTAATCCGGAATGCTGATTTATTCACTTACGATGAGCATGATTTTAGTCACAGACAAGCCTACACAGAAAGCCAAATTATCACCAAAATTTTGCTCATAAATTTGTTTCAGAATAAATGAAGATAGATAAAAAATGAATTAATGCAATCATCAGGATTTGTATCTCCGTAGTATAGAGATATGATATGTGTTAAAGAGATTGGGATATTTGTGTTCATAGATCAGGGTGCCTTCTCTCCTAGACAATGCAAGAGGCTTACAGTCACCTTTGTTTTTCAACCATCCCTCACTTCTGCTCCTAATACCTTCTATTAATACAGTTAATCTCAGGCAACAGAATAAATTAGATTTAAGCTTTCTTAATTACAATTACATTCTAAGCATGGCTCCCAGTAACTCTAGTCAATAATATCTTATGTTAAGTTTCCAAGGGGCTAAACTCCTGCTGTCTATGCGGGATTTGTTTGCTCGACTCTCACAGGCTCACCTTGGGCCATGATTCTGGCAGAGGGATGAAAAAGCTCATATTAGTGTAGCTTCCACATAAAAGTTCTGGGAGGATTTTAATCAGTTTAAAATGACCAATTATAGGTTCTACTTTACAGACATTGAGGGTCAATGTATGGACGCTATATGTGTGCTGTAAATTCCAGACCTCCTCAAGTTCATTGCACATTCATATGCACATTGAACATTGTCTATAGAATAAGTAATAGTATATCCTACAGATACACTCTTTTGCAAACTGTTCAGATCAAAGCGTGAACAAAATATGAATTATTTATATAATAGTAATATGAATATTTTATACATTTTATAGTTATTATAATAACTGAATTTATGGTAACTTTCAATGCAAAGTATTTTATCAATGTGTAGATTCAAAAGAATAAGTGAATAAGTACTGCCTTCTGGTGAAATTTTATGTATTTAACCTGCTAGGTACTGTCCTAAGCACTTTTAAAAATGAACTCATTTAGTTTTCATAACTCCCCCAGAGGTAAGTGCTGTTATTATCTCTACAATGCAGATAATAAAGCTGAGAGGCAGAGAAGTTAAGAGACTTGCCCAAAGTCCTATGGCTAGTAAATGGCAAAGCTGGGATCTGAACCCAGGGTCAGGCTCCAAGGTCTATGCTCTTAGTCATTGGTTATCCTGCATCTCTTTTAAAGAAAGTGGGTCTTCACGTACTGAAAAAAAGGTTGGGAACCTCTGGTCCAAAATGTGAGCACAGTTCAGAATTCTAAGTAAAAAACAGCTATAAATATTTGGTGTGGAGGTTTGAATTATAGCAAGAAACTCTACCAGGTCTGTCCTTAGAAGTCAGCAGAAGAGGTAGCTGTGTACAGTACTTGTCCGTTTTTGTTATTTTTTATTCTCATCAAAATGGCACTAAAAATCTAACAAAAACAAAAGTTCTGTGAGCACCTCCTCAACCCTCATATCCTGTCACATCATCCTCCTTAGCAGCAACCACTCTTGACATTTTAAATTGTTTCTCCTATGCTTTTAAATAATATGTATATATTCTATATGTCTATTCAACTCTTTTAGAAATTTATGTCTGTCATATTATGATGAATGAGGATTTTATCTCTTACATGTCCCGTTCCCTTTCTCTATCCTTTCTGTAGATAGAATCCAATTTTTTGTTAATCAATAATCAATGCTTACATTACTGTACTGTTATTTATACATAACTATATAATTAGTATTTCTTTGTGATATCTAACAGATTTTTCTGTAGAGATTTTAAAGATAAAACAGAATAGAACAGAAAATTTCTAAAACATCAAAATGCATTACACTGCTTTGTGGAAACATTTTTCAGTTATATATTTATGCATGTGTGTACTGGGACAAATCTAAAAAATATATATATACTTTTTTTTTTACTGTGGATTAAAATAATTTGCAAGAATTAGAGAGTAGGGAGGATATCAGCTCTACCTCTTAGAAAAAGAACACCTTTTACCTGAAGTGCTCCAAAGGCAGAGTCTGTGTAACTTGTATTTCAGGAGCAGAAAGTTAAAGCAAACTTGTACAAATGAAGTTTTGTACAGAGATGATTACCTGGAATGCACTGCATAGATGGAAGGTGTTATGGACTAAACTGTATGCCTTCAAAATTCATATGCTGAATCTTAACATGGAGTACCTCAGAATGTGACTGTATGCAGTTAGGGCCTTTAAAGAAGTGATTAAATTAAAATAAGACTGTTAGGGTGGACCCTAATGCAATCCACTGATATCCTTATAAGAAGAGAAGATTTGAACACACAGAGAGACCAGGGATGTGTGCACACAGAGAAAAGACCATGTGAGGACACAGAGAGAAGTTGATCATCTGCAAACCAAGGAGACAAGCCTCAGAAGAAACCAAACCATCACCTTGATCTTAGACTTCTAGCCTCCAGAACTGTGAGGACATAAATGTTTTTCATCTAAGCCACCCAGTCTGTGGTATTTTGTTCTGTCAGCCCTAGTAAACTAATACGGAGGGGATGTAAGTCAATGGGTATCTGGAGATCTCTAAATGTTGCCTTGCATATACCTTGACTTCCTTGGCCCTATCTTGATTTGTCCTACTCTCTTGGCAAGATTACACACGAGGCTAAATGCAGTTTGCCTACTACATACCTGTACCAATGCAGCTGAAAATGGCTATAGAAAAATGCACAAGGCAATCAACGAGTTATACTTGAAATTCATGACTCCAAACCTTAAATCTTTAGTGGGTCCTTGGTGCTACTGGGCAATCAGACTATATGTCCTTGTTCAGATCTCTTCACTGTCTTTGACACAACTTCACACTATTTCATTTTCCCAAATCCCTAATATCTCCATCTCCTCCTAACCATTCTCAACTTAGGAGCTTGCTTTCTAATTCAGAGAAAAGAGGAGAAACCAGAAGTGAGGACTTGCACAGATTGCCACCACCACCATGTTCACACACCCAACAGCATTGCACTCACAGTCCTGCCAGCTATGCACATAAACTTCACCGGCTCCTGGCCAGAGTACATTCACCCATCAGCTCCATTCTCTTGCAAGGGCATTGAACCAGCAGTTCACCCCATCCCCCACCTGATTAATTTTTTATCCTCTGCTTATTATTCTCTTTATCATACCTGCTGCCCTTTTACTTATTTTAAAAACCTCAACCCCACTTTCCTCAGTAGTAGCTGCTA